TGGAGGTATGAATTGAAGGCTAAAATGATCAAAGCAGAAAGCAAATGGAGTGATTGAACATGAAGCACAAAGAATGAACTTGAAAGCAAGAAAATCCGAAATAGTTGATTGCGGATGAGGACTTAGGATTCAAGGTTTGATGGATTTGAATCTTACCATATGAGTAAGTCTTGAAGGCTATAAGGGTGAAAGAAGCCAAGCTAATGGAAGTGCAAAAGCACAAGTGAAAAGAAATCCCCTCACAAAAAGAAAAATCAAAGTCAAAAGAAAAAAATAAAATAAGTGCCAATGCACATGAGCAAAGCTCACAAAAATAAAAGAAGGAGCCAAAGTCAAAAGAAAAGCAAGCAAGGTGGACACTCGTTCCTTCAATTCTCTACACATGGGTTTGATTCAAGTTTGGCAAAGTATGGATACGGCAACTAAGTCTTATGATTCTTAGTTTGATACTCTCAAGTGGATCAAGCCAACAAGGAAGTTCTTCAACCCTCACTCAATACTCCAGAAGCAAGAAGCTAAGAGAAGTTAAGCTAACAAGGATCCCAAAGTTGAAGTGTAAACCAAGGTTGAAAGGCAACTCTCACGTGTACATGGCTGTTGGAATGCTACATCAGAACTGCTCATCTCAGTAATAGTCATTGCTGCAATTATGCTGCCGAATTTATGCAGACCAATTAATCATTTCCTTCTTTGTTACTCGAGGACAAGCAACGTTTTGAGTTTGGAGTGTGATAACTCTCCCAAATGAGAGTTAATTTAGTATTTTTATGATGAATTTGTTGCATAAATTCCATATAAGTTGACCTCTTTGCATGATAATTAAGCTAAATATTGTATATTTATGATTAAATGCTTTGAGATGACTAAGTATGGAAAATAAGATAATATTCCTTGATTTTATATAAGAAAAGATGTAATAAGTGTTTGTCTTTGCAGGAAAAATTGACGTAGGAATGCTGTAGCAGAGAAGCTGACGAAGTAATGATATATCAAGCGCTATAGCATGACAGCATGGACAAAGGAACAACCGAACTTTTGAAATTCAAAAGTTAGTTAAATCCCAACAAATGGATAAGACACCAGCAAGAACAAGGGACGTTTCTGAAGATTTAATCTTATCCCAAAATCACAAGGATCAAGGACAATATTCAAAGATTGAGTCTTATCCTAGAATCTCAAAGAACAAGGACAACAACCTTTTGTTCGGTCAACAACATTGGCACAACAATTCCAAGAAGATCAAGATCTTATCCAAGCAAGTGCCAACAAAGCCCAAAATCCCAAAGAACAAGGACTACAAACTCACACTCACATTCGGTCAATAACAACATTGGCACAAGAAATTCAAGAAGATCAAGATTTTATCCAAGCAAGTGCCAACAAAGCCCAAAATCCCAAAGAACAAGGACTACAAACTCACACTCACATTCGGTCAACAACAACATTGGCACAAGAAATTCAAGAAGATCAAGATCTTATCCAAGCAAGTGCCAACAACCCAAGAATCTAAGGATACGATAAAGCTGCAACAACAAGATTCATAGCTTTTCACTCCTAACCCTAAAGCCCAATTTCCCAACCATTTTTCCTATTTAAAGAAGAACTCCCCCACGAGTTAAAGGACAGTTCGGAACACAGTTTGGAGGAGAGTTCAGAGAGGTTGAAGGTTCGAGAAGTCAGAAGCAAGTGGGAACGTTTTAGAGAGAGAAAGAGAGGTTCTTGGAGAGGGAAGAGCTGTTGGAGCAAGGCAGTGACGACGTCTTCCTACAGCATTCATTTTCATCTTCTTTTCTGTTTTCCAATGAGTTCTTCTTTTCTTTTCTTTGTTTTATTTAATTCCATTATGAGCTAATTTGCTCTATAGGTTAGGTGATAAAGTACCTATGCTGTAACATTGAGATGTATGCCTAAACTCTGTTTATGTTAATGTTTAGTTAGTTATTCAACGAGTTTGCTTAATCTTATTCATGTGTGCATGTCGAGAGATACATATGTGATATTGAGGAGGTTGGGGCCGAGAGGTTTTCGAATCTAGACCCTTGTTGAATTGTGTGGATTAATTAGGTTATGAATAACTTAATTAAGTTGTGGGTAGAGAGATCATTCATACCACATAGCCTAGAACTTGAACTTGAACAATTCAGTGATTAGTTTAACCATAGAGATGTGGGAATTAGTTATTGAGTATATATGTTAGGTTGGCCAAAATCCCCATCATACCTTAGTGTTCGGTTACTAGTTAAACATTGATATAACATTGTTAAAGCATCGTTCCAGTATTGTTCTATCAGGGAAATTGAACCTGACCTATATCTCATCCATCATCTTAATACCTATTATTTTAGTTTACTGTTTTCTTAAATTCAATTGTATTTTATGTTACAATCCAATCATCACAATCAATCATTTTACCTACTTTCTTCACCTAAATAATCATTACTTGACACTTATCTCCGTGGGAACGATACTTGGACTCACATATCCCTTTATTACTTGTGACACGTGCACTTGCGTATTTGTGTGGAAGATTTAATTGATTACAAATTGCATAACATTAGGGCTCAATTCCTTGTTACCCTAAATTTATGTGATCTTGAAAGAACTCTAGTTCTCCGATTATTTCCCGAGAAAACATGCATTAAGATCAAGAATTCAAGATTGCACAATTACCCTATGTCTATCCCTAGATCACAAGGATTGTGATAGATTTATCAAATCAGGGTTCATGCACCAACATCCCTATTGTCATACAATTCCCCTAAATCAATCTATAAGGAGCAAACTCATAGAAAGCATTAAAGACAGATAAATTTATTCAAATATAAAAAGAGAAGAATTCAGAGACAATTTAATTCATAAACATAAGGATTCAATTGGGTTCCATCTACCCCTAACTACAGAAAAACTTAGCCTAACATATTGAATTCAAAAGCAATAAGAAAGAAAATAGTTCCCCAAGCCTCCATTGGTGTGATGTTGACTTGATTCCTCAGTGCTCCTACACTCCGCAACAGGATTCCTCTTTTGGGTCTCTGTGTATTTCCCGTGGTGTGTCTGTGAATGAGTTCCTTGACCCTGAGCTCCCTATTTATAACCTTAGAAACCACATCTTTTTTTAATTCCTCATCAAATCTCCCCATGGATCTCTATCTATTCTCAATAAAATCATATTTGTTTCCTTTTTTCCTCTAAGATCCTTCAAATTGGGCTTCAAATCTTTGTTATGATTTCTTTATCACTTCTTAGCACCAAATCTTGTGGATTTACCTTCAAAATGAGCAAGATATCAAAACATTAGCTCAATTCTCAAATTTTTATTATTTTATCATATAACACCTTGAATTCCATGCAATCTACCATATAATCTTTATGTAATTTGGCCTAAAAATATGGTAAACCAAGGGTTTATCAAACATTCCCAGATTTGAATATTGCTGTCCTCAGCAATCAATCAGAATAAAACTAAGAAAATAGGGACTAAGAATCTTCATTTGCATGGAATTTGACAGGAATGATTCAATAAGAAACATGATTACAGAGCATTCAGATTCTAAGGAATGATACATCAATCAACAAGACTCATAATTCATCAGTTAAAAGCTGCAACAAATTTTTTTAAGATCAAGAATAAAGAAGATTTCCTGAAACACTCCCTCACTAGGAATTCAATTCACTCACACTCAGTTGTTTAGAGGGTTGGTGTTTCACTCGTATCCCACTGAATCAACACTACCGTAGGCTTGCTTATATCCTTGCTCTCCACAGTTATTGTGACATATCCAACAGATCAAGAGATCTTGATTAGGGTTATAACTTGGCATGGTTGAAGGAAGGAAAAATTTAGAGAATGAGTTCTAAGATTAAAATCCAGATTCAACGAGGAATAAGTGTAATCGTTTAACAATTTGTAAACAACTTTCTCCTTCTTTTTTGGTTCATTCTTCTTCTTTTTTCTTTTGAACTTTTCTCTTGTTTTATCGTTCTCTTTTCTCAGAACAAGTTTTCTTCTTTCTTTTCACTTCTTTTCTTTTTCCTTTTTCTGAGTAATTTTCCTTTTCTTTGTTTGTTTCTTTTTCATTCTAACCCACCTTACTTCCTTAGCTTTTACCTTTCTTCCATGTACTCTCGTACATCACAATTTATGTAATCAATTAATTATCATTGTTCCTCAATTCAAGTCTGAAATTTAATCTCAAATAAGATGAGGATTTATATGGAAAGTGGCTTATTCATCTTCATAGGTTTTCAAAGAATAAACAGGCGTAGGCTCAAAATGGTTTAACTGAGGAATGTTAGCAATGGTTGGCTATTTGGCCATCTAGTTTAAAGAAAGAACATGCCTCAATCATATCCATAAAATATATCACAAATCAATTCAAGTAAGAAACAAAGCAAGTTTTAGAGTCTTTCATATAGTGGGATGCACACTTAATAAAAATTTTCTGGATAGGCTCAAAATCTCACGGCTATGGATGCACAGTAATTTTCCTATTCCTCATCTCACAAAATTTCATCACTAAAGAGAATATTCAATGAATCATGAAAATCATTGCATTGATGCTCATTATGAAAATTTAAGAAGGTGCATCATCATGCTCTGAGCCATTTTTCCATTTAAAAGCACTAAGTAAAATTTTCAGAATTTTCACAAAACAGTGGCTTGGGGTTTTAATTATTTTAAAACTCTAAAAAAAATCAAATTCAAATTGCATTAAAAAAAATCAAATCCATTTAGTTAAAATCATGGTCTCTCACAAATTCAAAAAAGACTCACATTAGTCTCTCAAAAGAATTAAAATGAGTCCACTTTGAATTTCTGAACATGAATAATCTTTTTATTTGTTAGAGACTAAAGCAGATATCGTACAAAATTTGCTAAGGACCAAAAAAGAGTATTTACTTTAAAAAACACTTAAAAATGTGCAACTTACGAAAATTATTTACTTTATATAAGTGTGTGTAAAATGGGTCTCATCTTTTTGGTCTGCTCCTGAGGTAACTGAGGACAAGAAGCGTCTCCTTCGCTCTATGTTAACCTGAAGCTCCGCATTCACCATTCTCGCTCTGTCTTAACCTGAAGCTCATTATTCATCATTCTCGCTCCAAATGAACTTTAAACTTTGTTTAATTGGTATCTTTCCCGAATGCTTCACTTCATTTTTAATCTTATTTGGTTCCGTTTTTTAACTCCTTAAGTTGCTTTTGTGCCTTGTTTTATATCTGAGCACCATGTGTTTGACTATTTTCCTAAGTGGGTTTATAGAGGTTACATGCTGGAATGTAATGTTCTTTTGGTTTATTCTGTACATGTACCTAATTGTTAGGGCTTTGAGTATGTTTATGGGGTCACAATTATGTGAGTTCTGTACCATATATGATACAGTGACTCTTCAATAACAAGTTTAAAATTGGTAGAGGGTCTGTTCATTATGTTTTTTTGTTCTTGGATTGTGCAAAAGGACGGTTTAGGATTTGTGAGTTTTGACTTTTTTTTTGAGTTTATCGTTTACTCTTTTAATGTTGTTAAGTTGATGTCATTGATTTTGAATGTTTTTCGTGATAATACTAGATTAATTGGTAACTTGGTTTGTCTTAGGATGTAGAAGCTGAGTAGAGAATTTCCATTTTATGTTCTGATATCAGTTCTTGGCTGTTATGGTTTCATTCCTATAATGCTTTTTAGAGATTGAATGATATTAGATTTTAATTTTATTGAGGTTGCTGATTGAGGAGAATAGCGAAAATAATATGTGCATGTTCGTTTCCATTGACTCTCAGGGTTGGATCCATCTTCCCTGCATACATCAACAGGTTATTGTTGCTATCATTATGATTCGTGAGTAACTCAATTTGTCAAAGGATATGAGCCTGCTTTCTTCTAGTGTATCTTCGGCTTCGTGATTTACCTGCAACTAGCAGCAAAGCTTTGTGTAATTTTCTTCAGAAAGCAATTAGTATTTCTCCTCAAACAGTAATGGAAGCAGCAAAAGTTCTTCCACTCTCCAAAACTGTCCCTTTTGGTTTCTCTATAGTGAGCAACAAAGTCTCTCTGAGACCTTTCAATGAACATTTTCATGCTAATGTACTTACTAGCAGTTGTCAATTCCACTCAATACCCAAGCGCATTAGTTTTCAATTGAATTGCTCCTATGGAAGCCCTTTTTCCTCCTTACTGAAACCAATTAGAAAAAGGGCTGCTTTGCTACCTTCTACCAGATGCTCAATTTCCAGTGAAGTCAGCACAGAATCTTGTAATCCTGTCCTAAACTACTTCAGAAATCTCTCACTTGATTCAATAAAAGCTACTTTTCTGCAGTTGACTCCTATTGATATTGTGAAGTGGTCTGGGATATTGTCCATCATAACTGCATCCACAAAATGGACTATGAATATGCTCTTCAGTCCTTTCTTCTGGATGTATTTTAGCTGGACTTGGTTGTTCTGGCCATGGTTGGTTGCTATAGTGCTTGCAGTTTATGGGTTATATTGCTTCCGAAAACATCTGCTTGGCCAGGCAAACATATTTGAGCAATTGGCAATTGTTACTTCAGTTTTCACATGGCTCACTCTTGTTCCTCCAGGTCATTTCAATGGCTACCTGGAAGGCTGGCCTTTCGCTTTCTTTTTTGTGTATCACTATTTCTTTTTCTTCAATGTCAGCGTCCGAAAGCGTTTATATGGAGATTATTATGCTCGTCCCCATGACCCAAAATGGGATGTGAATTTGCCAATGCTTTCTCGCCTTTTGTTCAGCATAGGAGTCATGGTTGGCCATTGGCTTGCAGCATTTGAAGGGCCGGAACTTCACCGCATACCGGGTGGGTGGAGCAATCTTGGAATCTGGGCTTTAATAATTGTAACTTTGCTAATGCAGTATAATGCCACATTGTATCTTGCTAATTATTCAGAAAATGTGGTAGAGCCATCTGCTGTTGTGCAATTTGGACCTTATCGTTGGGTCCGCCATCCAATATACTCATCAACAATGCTTTTGTTTGCAACATACTGCCTTGCACTTCGAGCACCTATGAGTCTGTTGTTTGTTGCAGCGGTTTGTTTGTTGTACTATAATCAGAAGGCAGAGATGGAGGAAGCTTTGATGGTTGAAACTTTTGGCCAGAATTACTCAGAATATGCAGCCAAAGTTAAATACAGGTTTATTCCATTCGTCTATTAGTTTGTCTCCTGAATTTTAGTTGTCAGTCATCAAAATCTGATTGGAGTGTAAGGTTTAGGCAAAATATAGTGTCACTCCTCGAAATCCAAGAGGTATATGTCTTTGTTTACTCTTTACTCTGTTATCTTTACTGTGTTTATCTTAACTTTGATCCTATGGCATAATGTGCACTTGTGGTTATCGTTGATGTCACGCCTTTTGAATATTTAGGTTTTCGTTGATGTTTTGTTTCATATAGCTTAGATGGTTTACTGTGTCTTTGTTCAGCACTAGCAATCACCGGCTATTTCATTCTTTTGTCTATCTTGAGCTATGTGCCTTGCCTTGCCTTGGTATAATTTTCCTAAATTATAGGAATATAAGTTTCTACCGTATAGCTTCTTTCTGTCTCGAGTTTAACTTGAAACTTGGCCTTCAACATGCATTTTCATGTTGTAAAGTAGACAAAACAATCAATCATGTTCTCCTATTTTTATGACCGATGCTGGCCCCCTTATGGATATACATTTTGGTTATCCTTGGTGTGCATGCTGGAGTAACATTGTAGAGAGATTCTTGAGCATAAATGGCTGTGGTTCTCCTATATTTGAGTTGAACCATGATCTAGCCTGACACCTATGTTTTATTAAACAAATTCAATTTTTAAAAATGATTCAAATACGTAGTATTAGAATACTTGCTTGCTGATATGGTTAGAGTTTTCATTCCCGATGAGCCTCCTATATATTAGTTTTGATTTTTTTTTCTTCTTTATGTAACAAAAGTTAAAAAGGCTAATTGACTTTTTTTTATTTTATGAAGTACTTAAAGTCTTGTCAAATCCTTTAAACTGTATATAACTAGTAAAATTGGTACATTGTATACATTTACTATATATATATATATATATATATATATATATGGGTTGGAGGCTCGATACTTGTTACATGCATTTACTCAGAGGTATGGTTTTATAGGCTCCAAGCCGCGTTTAGAGATTGCTGTAATGTCCTCTATTTCATAGGCCTTTAAACTAAAGAAATGGTCCTATGAAATAGGGGTATTGAACAAGGATCCATCCTAAATCCTTGTCTATTGAACCAGCTTCCCTTTCTTCTCTTTCTATAGTATGGAGGCAGTTTCATTAATCGGCCCTTGTCAGGACTTTGTTTCTTGTAAGTAAGAGTGTAAATGGGTCAAGCGGCTTGTCAGCGGCTGAAGGCTTGGTTTGCTTTAAACTTGACTTAGCCTGACTTATTTAATAAATAGAACGAGCTCAAACTTTAGAAAAAACTTGTTTAGCAAACATGCCCAAGTCTAATTTAATGAGGCTTGGCTTGAAAGTCTGTGAGCTGACGTGATATATTATTATAATAAATAATATATTTTTATATTACTGAATCATTAACCCTATTTTTTTACTATTATCTACGGGCATTCTCTCACGGTCACATGAAAGAAGGGTCTGTGTGCTTCTCTATTTCATGAGCTGGATCAATGTTTAAGAAAAAATTGTGTAACTCATTATTCAATCATGAAGTCGACTTTAATGTATCTTGAAACTAGCCTATGAATCGAATCTATAATGAGATAATTGAATGTATTGAAAATGTTATTTTTTTTGTTCTGACTGGATAGCAAGAAAGATGTAATTATATATGGATTAAGTGAGTTTTATGATTATTTTTTCTCTAAACGAAGGAATACAGAATTTGATATATTTATAGTCTCAATATTTGGATGTATGTGAGTTTGGAAAAAATATATTTTATAATTATAAATGAGTAAGTCAAGCTTTTAATTTTTCATAAACAAACTAAGTCAAACCTAGAATTTAGCTCATGCAAAGTTAATGGGCCAAGTCAAGTTCAAAATATTTTTGATAGATTTGGCTAGTTTAAGTTAAAACTTAACTCCGCTCAGTTCGCTCAGTTCAATTACACTCGTACTTGTAAGGTATAGAGGTGGTCAGGGCTTACTCTATTCCCTGGAGGGGAATAGTCACCCTTTAGCTACGATTCGGTAAAGGCACTATCTCTATTCCTTGGAATAGGGGCATCTGTCTCATTCTCTGTCTCAGTTTTCCATTTGGATTGTAAAGATAAAGTCCGGGCATATCATTCAAGAGGGGCTTCGCCCTATAGATAGATAAGAGGTTTATGAATGGGTTTTTTTTAGAGTTATCCTTTGTGGCCCTTATTGGGGGTTATCATTCTTATATTAGGCATCTTTATTACGGAAAAAATATTTGTATTTTTAAAGAATGGTTTTTTTAGTTAAAAGTAGTATTTTTTATTTTAATTTTAATTTTAATTTTTTTAAAAAAATCTCACTCTCTCCCCGTCCCCCTTTCATGATTTTCATTGTCTATTTCTTTACCTCACTTTAAATGATATAATTTTAAGTTCTTTAAAAACAAATCCTAATTCCCTTTATTATATGGTAATGTTTCTAGTTATCCATAAGAAATTTTTCGTACAAAATGGAAACGCACACTGTGACCTTTTGAAGTTTTCAAACACAATTAAAGGTGAGTGTCCCATGACTTGTAAAGGTGAGAGATTATGAGAGTTCTAAAGCATGATTAATTTGCAACTATTAGATCTAAAACTAATCTAATGATGATTAAATTAATTATAAGGATGACAAACTTAATTGGTGATAAATATAACAATATCTTGGACCCAAACCAATATATGAAAAAAAATTTTACGACAGAGATGGTAAATATGAAAAATTCTTTAGATTTTACTAGTAATTGACTCACGTTTGGGAGGAATGAAGGCGTGATATACTTTCAAAATCTTTGCATTCACTTATAAAGGATTTTGTTAATTGAAACTATGGGAGGAGAACCTTTTATGGATAATCTTGGCAAAAAAATTTATTTATTGCAATTTAATTAAAGAATTACGCAAATATGACAGTTTGAGGAGTATTTACAGATCTATTGCACACTGTGACGCTCCAGTGAGACGTCTCTCATGAGGAGAAGACGCCCCAATGGGGCGTCACATGTGACGCCCAAAAGGGGCGTCTCATGTGCAATGCTATAAATACCCCATTTTCCCCATTTCACTCTTCACTCATTTACCTCTTTCTAACCTCTCTCTAACCACGGTTCGTAGCGAAGCTCTGCCGACTTAGGTAAGGTCGTAATACCTCCTATGTATACGTTTAAATTACAGTGCTAGTTAGTAATACATGTTAGGATTGATCGTATATTAGAGACTTAGAACATTAGGATAGTCACTTAAAAATTTTGTGCCATGCTATGAATGTTGTAATGATACTCCCCTTTTTTTGTTACGTAGTTATTATTATTAATATTTAATTATGCATTAGGGTTTAGCGTATTAATTAGTGATTTAGAAAATAGTGATAGCGAGATCGTAAATTTTGTATGTATGATGTTATTAATGCGGGAGTTTATTCATAATTTTGTAGTCAGTTAGGTGTGATGATTACTACATATTTATGAAGTTATTAGTGACCTAAGGTTAAGTATTCTGTAAGTATTACATTATTTTTGTCCAATGTTTTTTTATTATTTAATTACAAATAAATGATTGTACTACGTATTAACATTATTTCATTAATTTCAATTCTAGTAAAATAAATGACGCGTATGCTTAAATTTTTTGATAATAAATTATGGCATTGCTTAATTAATTTGTAAATAAAATGGGGCATTACATGTGATTAATTTAAATGTTGTTTTATATGATATAGTTGAGGGTAATGGCTGATTCATCATCTTCATCGGGTTCTGCATCGGATGTAGAGCCTACCGATCCCAGCATGTACATTATACCGGGGCCGTACAGATGGGAGGTCCTTCGTAAGAGGACGCAGCGTGCTCATATTTCACAGCGAGTGTTGAATACGGAGCATGTCAGGAAAATAAAGACTAGGCGTGGAAAGCCAACGGGGGGCCAACGTGGTCGTAGTTTCATTGCCATTTAGGGCTTTATTGTATTAGGGTTTAGACTTTATCATGTTGTTATTTTGTGGATTGTACATTATTCTACTTATTTGGACTACTTACCATGCTTTTTGTATTTATGTTTTGTTGGTCGCCCTTATTGCACTTATGATACGGTAACTAATCAAGACAGTTAATAGCATGAGAATAAAAACATATATAAAGGATAGGAAAAAGTCCAACATAAAATACAGTACAATTCAAGCAATAAAATAACCAACAGCAGAAACAAATTTTGTTCGTATCTCAGTCGTTTCTCCCCCGATTTGGACATCCTCGCCGATTATAGCCGCGTTCCTTGCACAGTCCACACCGGATACGACTTTGACTTATCTCAACTTCGTCCATCTCGTTGCGGATGCGAGTTGACTTTGGACGACCTTTTGCACGCAACATAGTGTGATCGGGAATAATCTTTGGACCACTACTTTCAGGTATTGCTTCCTCGTTTTCGATTGGATCCCAGGGAAAAGCATAAGCCTCGACCAAGTTACTTGTCAAGAAGACATCGTCTACGTACATGAACGAACTCTGTCTAACACTTAAAGCAGCAGCGGCGTGACTACACGAATACTTAAAGGCCTTAAACTTTCCACACTGACAGAATCTCTGTGGGAGATTGACAGAATATGAACGCTCCCAACCAGCATCAACCTCGAAGACGGTATGTTCCACATTGTATGCACGAACGTGGTGGCCGGTTGCATCTACCTGGTTTTTCTTGACCAATTCAACAACATTTTTGCAGTGACGATGACCTGATTCAAGTTGTGCAACGACATTTGTTCCTCTCTCAACAAAATATTGAACCAATCTGCTATATGTATGCTTAACCAATGCAGTTATCGGCATATTTCTGGCCCCCTTCAAAACCCTGTTCACAGATTCTGCCAAATTTGTTGTCATATGACCGTACCTCCGTCCTTCAATATCGTAGGCTCGCGACCACTTTTTCTTAGGGATCGCATCAATCCACTCAACAATTTGAGGACTACTTTCACGGAAGCTCGCAAGATTCCTTTCAAAATCAACCATGGCCGGAGTATAACCTGCACATAATGGACATCATCGAATTAAACATAAGTTGAGAAACATAATGGAAATAAATAAATACGCATCTAATGAATGAGTATACCTAAATTCTTTAACATCCGCTTCAAACCTTCATTCCGAAACTTTTGATTGAAGTTGTTTGCAATATGACGAATACAAAAGAGGTGATATGCATTTGGTGGCTGCCAATTAGGATTTTTCTCCATAGCAGATATTATACTACGATGCCGATCAGAGATCAAACATATGTTTGACATGTCAGTAACATGAGCACGAATATTAACAAGAAAAAAGTCCCATGCATCCAAGGTCTCGCCTTCAACGATGGCAAAAGCAATCGGTAAACATTCATCATTACCATCTTGGGCTGTGACCACCAACAATTTGCCTTTGTACTTCCCATATAAATGTGTTCCATCAATTTGTATGACGGGTTTGGCAAATTTGAACGCCTCACAACACTGTCTAAACGTCCAAAATATGCGATGAAACACCTTTTTTCCAGTCACTAAGGTCTGCTCTGCATAAAGGTCATTTGTTTGGATATGATAAAATGAACCTGGAGAAAAGCGAAGCATGTATTCGCACCACCTTGGCAAAAAAGCATACGATTCCTCCCAATCACCGTACATAATTGCCAAATCACCGTACATAATTGCCATCGCTTTCTGCTTCGCATACCACGCCTTTCTGTAGGAAACTTTAAAGCCATATTTAGAGGTTATCCTTTCTTGCACCAAAGAGATTGACACAGATGGTTCTTCCTTTATCATCCCTGCATTGAAGAGTACCCAGACTCGATAACATCGAAAAAATTGTGTCTTTACACAGCAGTACGTAAACGTTGACATGACATACAAATAAATAAATACGTACCTATGACGAGATCTGCTATAATGTCCGCATCGAGCTGTCTATGTCCCTGGGAAATGTGCTCATTCAAACAATTGTGATTTCCACCCCATCTCGTAATCTTCCAATTTTCACCAAACACTGGTTTCACGGCCCTAACGCGCCACGGGCAACCCTTATCATCCGCACAACATTTCATGGATAACTTTGCAGGCGTGCTCTCAATTACAATTGCTTCTTGATGCTCCCTAATGAGGCGGTGCTTAAGTGCCATTTGAACATCTTTTTTTGTTGCAAATTCTTGATTGACAAATAACTTGTCACCCAGTTGCCACGGACCTTGTATTGAACCCGATCCTGAGACCGAACCATCAGTGCATGATTCTTGTTCGCTCTGATAACTCCAATCAATGTAGGAATAATGCGAAATTCCTTCCCAAAAAGGAATTACAGTTTCGTCACTTGCAACTGCGGATTGTAACTTTTTAATACAAAAACCCTAATTCAAGTATTATATCAGGTGCAAAATTCAACTATATACAAGTTATTTCAATTACCTTCATGATGAATACCTAATGGGGCAGACGCAACGTCATGCAACTGCGGCATTTGCGCGACCACTGGTGCATGGAATATTGGGATTTGAGACGCACCCATCTCAGCACCTTCATCTCCTTCGGAAGCACTAGCATCCTCCGCAAGAAGTCGTTCTTCCATTGCGATATTTTCATCATCATCGTCGTCGTCGTCGTCGTGCATTTCCCAAGTCGGATCATTTTCATCTCCCTCAGAATAGTTACCAACTAGAGACGCATGAGCGGCAGACAAAGATGGAAGACGGGGCGAATTTAAATCAACTGACCTCACCGGTAACGGAACATTCTCGATTGCGGCGATGTCGACGTACAACTCCAGAAAATCTATCCTTGACTGGTTGGAAAATTCTTCCATTGTCATCTCCAGGTCTTAATCATCAACCACTTGCAAACTAATGTATTTATCACATTGCCATAACCTTGTAGTGATCTGAATGATACATTGGTTGCCTTGAAGACTTAACTTCTGCCGAATTCTCTGATGCAGTTCGCCAATGGTTGCGCTGCGTTGGATACGTGTCGGCCTTTTTTCACCTTCAAACATAACACCTCGTCGACCTTCTACCTTCCTACCACTGTAATATAACACAACACGAACAGAATCAGGACGGAAACTCATTCTAAAATAGAATAAGAAACAAAATTCAAATATTAAATTAAAGAGAAGAGATATGAAGAGTGAGAGAAGAGGTGTGAAAAGTGAATAGAGAGGTGGGGGATTATATAGGGTGCACAATGTGACGCCATTTTTGGGCGTCACATGTGATGCCCAAAAGTGGCATCACATTGTGCAGTACATTTGTATTTATTCCCCAAACTGTCATATTTGCGTAATTATTTAATTAAATTGCAATAAATAAATTTTTTTTCCGAATAATCTTCACAACCAAATATATATGGGCTGACCTGTAAAAGCCCACTAAGAGGTTACTTTTTTGTTTTCTCATAATGAGCACATAGACCTCATTGTAAATATATCTCACTCACTATATCGCTCACCCATCCTACGTGTTTGTGGAGCAATTTGTCACGCACAACAATGAGGTAATGGGCAAAAATGATTATGACTCTTTCTTTCTCATATTTATAGAAAATATTTCTCATCTATATATACCCCTCTTTATCTATTGAATAGACATCTTACATTTATATATTTTATGAGTTGTTATTTTGATGAAATATAAAGACATTGTGCCCTTATATATTCCCCTCTCTAAGCCTTACTTGAGATGCGCACATAGGGTGACTCCTCAAGAGAATTTGTCCACACCACTGCCTCTGAGAGCACTTATATAGCAATATATTTTACCCTCTAAAGGATACAAACCTAACTCTACTACACAACACTCACATGTAATTTAATATAATTATTTTCACATATTTTCAACAACAACAAAAATTGAGTTATATGAACGGTGAGTCTGAAAGGAAATTTGCAAAATTACTTCTTTCATGATTGCATATCACGAAAAATCGTTAATATAACTTTAAATGAAATTTCAATAAATATCGACACTGTGTGTAAATTATATGTACAATCCGATCATTAACTCAAGTAAAATGAATCATTTTTTTGTTTACCAAAAAAAAAATGAATCATTTTGCGATATTAAAAAAACATAGTTGTTTTTCAAATGTTTCAAAATAAAGAAAGCAAATTAAACTTGGAATAGAATCACAAGAGCGAAATGAGTCATTTTTCAAGAAAAAGAAATAAGTATAGTTTTCATTTGCTAATAAATTAGGCTCTTTGACCCATTTGCGAATTTTACCCATTTAATTTTTTATTTTTTGGTAAACTACCCATTTAATTTTTTAATTTGGTATTCAATTCACAATATTTATCAATGGGGATCGTTGAGTGACGCAAGGGAGACCAGCGACACTGAGTGCCGCGAACAATCCCATCATCACTCACACATTCGATTTTTTTTTTTTAATTGAGTGTTGACCCCCTCCTCTGGGGAACTCATGAAATTGTGCCAAGTGGCACAATCTCGTTAGTCTCGTTTTCGTTAAATTTCGGAAGCGAAATTTTTTTGACTCAGGTATCCAAATCAAATGATTTTTTTTTTATTTCACAAAACTTTTCGAGATCTACACAATGACATCTCATTTGATATATTTTATCTCTCACAAACATAGTTCGAATTTGTAAAAATGTGAAACTATTATTGTGAATTTGAACTATATTAATGGAAGATAAAATATGTCAAATGAGGTGTCATTGCGGAGATCTCGAAAAGTTATGTGAAATAAAAAAAATTATTTAATTTGGATGCCCGAGTCAAAAGTTATTGCCTTCCGAAACTTTACGATAACGGGACTAACGAGATTGTGTCACGTGGCATAATCTTATGAGTTCCCTAGGAGAGGAGGCGTCACTCAATTAAAAAAAACAGATGTGTGAGTGACGCGGGGGTGGTTCGCGACACTCAGTTCCGCTGGTCCCTCTCGTGTCACTCAACGACCCCCATTAGTAAATATCATGAATCAAATACTAAATTAATACATTAAAATTTTAAAAAAACCCAATGGGTCAAAGAGCCAATAAGTTATCCTGTGTTACGTGTGCGTGTTTGTGAAAGAATGGTAATTTACGTCTTTTGTGGGAGAGAAAATTTAGAGCTCCCGGCCCTTGTAGTCCCCCATGAGAGAAAAAGCTAGAGAGGAGAGAGAGAAGAAAAAAAAAGACCAAGGAATAAATTTCCCTTTTGTGGAAGGCTTAGATTGTAAAAGTTACTATATATAATTTTTTTTAAGAAAATTAAAATTAAACAAGTACCCTATCTCAAAGAATAAAGGCAAGAACACTATACCATTACCCAGAAAAGAAAGGGACAATAACAGAATCACCATTCTAATGTATGAAATATATTTTCTGTTTGTCTTTTTCATTTTGTTTTGGTTGCACTTGCACCACAGTTTTTGGTTCTCTCTCTTTTTGCTGAGACCTGCAAAATTCTGATATTTTGTCTTTCCTTTTGTTTATTTGTATACCTCTTTTGGCTGATGTTTTGAATTTCAAACTGTGCAACTAAAAATGGTTTTACTGGATTTACGTTTTTTGTTTTTTAGTTTTTGGTAAAGAGTGGATTTATACATATTGTTGTCTTGCTGTTGGGGAGTGATTTTATTTGTCTTTCTGAAACTGTTTGTACTTTGTATATTTGGAAGGCTTTTTGACCCTTATAACCCTCTATTAATAATTAATTACTAAATTGACCTTAATTATAAACTATTTCAAAAATTTAACCCACTCTAAAAACATAACATCAATCTGCTCCTGTTTGACCGTTGACCACCAAGCCTACTCGGGTACACCTCTCCCTACCCGAGTAGACAAAAAATACCCGGGTAGAGAGGAGTGTACCCGAGTATTGTTCTTGGCACCTGAAAAATTGTTTGAATTATTTACCCGGGTACGAAGGGGTGTACCCGGGTAAATTTCTTGGGCACCTGAAAAATGTCCACTCCCCCAGAGGTTGGGCATAAAGGGTTCTTTGAAAAGTTGAGCGAAAAGTGCTTATGTGGTTGTCAAACAAGACGACGAGGGTTTGGTTGCTTCAACACCCTTTTCGAGGCATTTGTTGGGTTCTTTTGTAAAACAAGAACAATTGAGAACCATCAAGATAATGACGATGATCAGTAGCAGCATGAAGATGATGACGATGAAGGGGGTTGACTGAACACAGAAGGGACACTTCCACTTTATTGGAACTTTCGGTTGGACCAGTAGATGAAAAAGTTTTTTTATTTTTTAGTTCAGTAACCCATTGTAAATTGAGAAAACATTAGATATTTTTCTTTTCTTTTTCTTATAAGTTGTAAATAAAATTTTGTTTCGAGTTTTCTTCTATGATGATTTACCCGTGTACACCTCTTCGTACCTGGGTAAATAATTCAAACAATTTTTCAAGTGCCAAGAACAATACCCGGGTACACGCCTCTCTATCCGGGTATTTTTTGTCTACCCGGGTAGGGAGGGGTGTACCCGGGTAGACTTGGTGGTCAACGGTCAAACAGGGGCAGATTAGTGTTATGTTTTTAGAGGGGGTTAAATTTTTGAAATAGTTTATAATGAAGGTCAATTTGATAACTAATTATTAATAAAAGGTTATAAAGGTCAAAAAGCCATATTTGAAGTGTTCATGTTTTAGGAATTTTTGGTTGCCTGTACTTTGAGAAGCAAAAGAACGTTTCTATGTTGTTTGAGGGTATAGGTTACACTAATAAATACAAATTTAATCATCGGAAGATTTGTATGGTTTTGTGCTTCTATAAATATTTCATAATTAGCATGTTATTAGGCTCTTAATTCGTAAAACTAATAACTTAACTATATGTTAATCACAACCAGTCAATAATGCATTAGCTAAAACAAATCTAACCATTCAACTCTAGTATCAATCCGGAGTACAAATAAAAACACAAGAGTCAAAAATACTTTAAGCAACAAACAAAACAAGAAGAGAATGTGCAAGAATATAATCCACAATCAACTATATAGATATATAAAAAAAAAAAAAAAATGTACATTAAATATACTGACGCTAAAGTTGAACGCTCGTAACATGCATCAATTCTAAGTTCAAAGGAGCCACATGACTAGCACGTCATGAAAATTTTTTAATCTAAAAAACTCAATTACATAAGCCATTCAAATGTCACGAAGCAATTTTATGATTAGAATGGGAACAACTGAATTTGTGTAGAGGTGAAGATGAGCGATTAATCCACAGGAGTATAGGGATTAATATCCAGAGATATAGAGAGACGTAATAACGAAGAACTTGAGCTCAACAATGAGATCTGAGGTATGGAGTCTTAAGCAAAGGCTGAAAAGGGGAGATGTTCTGTAAGAGCTTAATTCTGGGATTCTAATAACACTGAAGCAGAGTAAGGGTAGTGGAGGAAAATGAATATGAAGGTCCCCCTATGTTTGCGAGAGGGGTATTTGATTCGGATATAATATAGACCTAACCATGGCTCAATAAACACATGGAAGCCCAAGCCCATAAAGGACCTAGAACAAGACATAAAAGACAGGCACGGGACGCGATAACCCTATCGCGTCACACCAGCGCGATGTCCATATCGCGGAACACCAGGCGCGATAGTCCCGTCGCGTCATACACGGCGCAATGCCTCATCACAGCATGCAGGATATACTTACTCCCCACGCAACAAGATACCTTCTACAGACAGTAAACTTAAGGGCCAAGGCAACACCACCGCGCCCTCACACCAGTAAGCAATGGACAGCTCCAGCTCGCCACGACTCTACTAATAGACACCATGGCGGCAAGCTCCTCAACATTTAAACCATGACAGCCACACTACGTTGGCACCAAGGAACCTTTGCCTTCACCATGAAGAAAGGTCTCCTCCAAACACACATCTCGATTACTATATAAACATACGTTGTGCCACCAAGGGACGATCATCCTTTACTTTCACAACATAAACACCTGCCCCTGATACTGACTTGAGCGTCAGAGTGTCTTCGCAGGTACCCCCCATCCGGTGCAACTTGAAGGACGAAGGACAAAGAGCTCAGGCTCATCCCACATCAACAGTACCAGGCCCAGGTCAGTAACCATCTAAGGAGTCTCAACCGTGTGTGATTTGGGCTTGATACGCATTGGGCCATCCCTACCGTATCTGGTCCGATCATTGGCGTCGTCTGTGGGGACGTATATTACCCACCATTCTCTAAAAACATGGTTGAAACTCGCAGCAAATCTCAGAACGGCTCCAAAGGAAAGCAGAAGGAGACCCCTGCTTCCCGTGAAAAATCAGCTTCATCGGTGGCACCAATTACCATCCACCTGGATGACCCACCAACACCCCAACATCTGTTGGACCTCCTCACGTTACAAAACAAGAAAATTGCCCAGCAAAATTGAGATTTAGCTCGATTGAAAAAAGCTCAAAAGAAAAAAAGAAAAAACTCAAGAAAAGGGAAAAGAAAAAGAGAAAAATCAGGAAAAGGAAAAAGATCTCGAAAATTCTGCAAAAAGCGAACCACTTCATTCGCACTCAACATGGAACCCAGGACCTTCGGGTCACAAAAATAAAAAAGGTGAAGAAATCAAAGATACTCAGGAGAATGAGAATTCCCATGGTCCTTCAAGGACTGTTTCTCGAATTATTCACCCCTTTGTCCCCTGCATCATGAACATCTCAATCCCTCGCGATGTCAAGATAACAACAGAAAAATATAACGGGGGGGACCCTCAAGAGCATCTGGAACAATTCCAGACAAACATGATGGCACAAGATGTCACAGATCCAATAGCATGCCGACTATTTCCTACAACTCTTAAGGAAACAGCCCTTAGGTGGTACTCAGCATTGCCACCTAACTCGATACAAAGCTGGGAAGACTTAATCAACCAGTTTCTCGTGCGGTTCGCAACGAGCACAGCGCAGTACAAATCCACTCACGCGCTAAAAACAATTCGACAAGAGTCGAATGAATCTTTGCGCGATTATTTAAAACTGATTCTTCGATGAAGCACTTCTGGTTAGAGACTTAGATTCACAAGTCTCCCTACACATCATCACTGAAGGCCTTTTGGAAGGACCTTTTTCTAGGTCGCTAGCCAAACAACGACCTCGCACCATAGAAGAACTGCGTGTGCGCTAAGAAAAATTTATCAACTTGAAGGATTACAAGCGTTCACGAGAAATCTCCAACACCAGAACCAGTACAGACAACTTCAAAAAAGATATCCAGAAGAATGTCCAACGCAAATTTCGTGAAAAAAGAAAGTGGGGAAAATACGACAGCTACACCCCCTTGAATATATCTCCCAAGCGGATTTTCAAGGAAGTTTTCCAAACAGGGTATGTCCATGTTAACAAACCTCCTCCTATGTCAAAAGGAGTTCAGCGCGATGAATCCAAATTTTGCGAATTCCATAACGACAAAGGTCACACCACCGACGAATGTCTCGCGCTCAGAAATACGATTGAGACACTCATTAGAGAAGGAAAGCTCCAAGAATTTATTTCCACTTGCAGGGAATACAAGACGCAGCAAAAGCGCGATAGAAGCCCTGATCACGACTCGAATCCCAACGAGCAAAGGGCACGTTCTAGGAGAACTTATAACTCCACTCGTAACAGTGATCGTAGAGAGGACAGAGCAACATCAACTGACAGACGTCATAGAACTCCATCAAGAAACAGACAGCAAGGCGCGGGGCAACACCGCGATGGACTACCCAATAACGCAACAAGCGTTCTAGCCACCATTGCTGGGGGCTCAGCGGGAGGCGGTGCGACCACATCTCAATGAAAGAAGCACTTAAAGTCAGTAATGACAGTGTGCAATCACACACGCCCATCAACCCCTCGCGATCTAAAACAGGCCATCAGTTTTGATGATGATGACTATGGCGACATCATTCCAGACCACGATGACCCCCTAGTAATCTCAGCATGCATGGCTAACCTCCAGGTAAAATGTATTATGATTGATAATGGCAGTTCAGTTGATATCATATTCTGGGATGCCTTTTGCGCGATGCGAACCTAGAGGAACATCTTCTGCATGGATGTTCAGACTCAATAGGCTTCGCTGGAGAATGCGTAAAACCTAAAGGCACCATTGAAATGTGGGTCACCTTTGGAAACATGCCTTTAGCTCAAACTATCAAGGTGAAATTTTATGTCATTGAATACGCTTCAACGTATAACATCATTCTAGGAAGATCAACTATTGCGGCATTAAAGGCAATCATTTCCATGCCTCATCTTTTGATGAAATCCTGTAACAAGCCTGGCACGGTAGTTGCCATTAGAGGAGATCAGAAAACAACACGCAGTTGTTACAATACCAGTCTAAGAGCCAAGACTCCTGTACAGCCTGATGACAAAGGCAAAGCATCGATAAATATGGCCGATCTCGATGTACGCGATGATCTACGCGATATTCGTCCTCAACCTGATGGGGAGTTGGAAGACCTCCAGATAGGCCCACTCCCTGACAACACTACCAAAATTGGTCGAAACCTCCAAGAGGCTGAGAAAAGCGCGCTGATAACTGTATTGCAAAATAACAAAGACCTTTTCGCATGGACAGCCGCGGACATGCCAGGGATAGACCCAGGGATAATATGTCACCATTTAACCCTGGATCCCAAAGCAAAGCCCATCGCGCAGAAAAAGCGCAAAATATCCCCTGAGAAACAATAGGCGGTTGAAGCTGAAGTAGCAAAATTACTTGATGCTGGAGTGATTAGAGAAATCACTTACTCTACATGACTCTCCAATGTGGTATTAGTCAAGAAACCCAATGGAAAGTGGCGCATGTGTACTGATTACACAGATCTCAACAATCACTGCCCAAAGGATTTTTATCCACTTCCCACCATCGACAAGCTGGTCGATAATTCTGCAGGATACCAAATTTTATCCTTTATGGACGCATATTGTAGCTACAACCAGATTCTAATGTTCACACCAGATGAGGAAGCCACAACTTTCATCACCGAAAAAGCTACTTACTGCTATAACATGATGCCATTTGGTCTCAAAAATGCTGGAGCCGCTTATCAACGCATAATGAACAAAGTCTTCAGCCAACAGATAGGCCAGATGCTTGAAGTTTACATTGATGATATGATAGTCAAAACAATGACAACTGCGCAACATCCTCAAGATTTGGAACATGTATTTCAACAACTGTGCAAATACAGGCTACGGCTTAATCCAGCTAAATGCGTGTTTGGGGTACCTGCTGGAAAATTCTTAGGATTCATGCTCACGCATTGCGGGATAGAGGCCAACCCTGACAAATGCAATGCCATTCTCAGCATGACAAGCCCGCGAAACGTCAAGGAATTGCAACAACTGACAGGAAGAATTACCGCTCTAACCAGATTCCTTCCTACATCAGCTCAAAAATCATTGCCCATGTTCAAACTTTTGCGCAAGCAGACAAACTTCAACTGGACTCCTGAATGCGAGGCAGGGTTCTTGGACATCAAAGAACATTTGGCCAACCCACCAGGAAACAACAAAACAGTGATCCAACAAAGCGTCCCTAATCCTAGCGTGATAATGGCCATAGCCAAACGACGAGCTCAACCATCCCAAAGCACGCAATCCATGGTTGAGGATGAATCTATGCCATTGGACGATGACGAAACTTGGATGACACCAATTTGGAACTATCTACTCAAAGGAAAGGCACCACAAGAAACGCGCGCGGCCAAAAAACTAGCGCGCAAAGCCTCCTTCTACACCATCATCAATAACCATCTTTACAAAAAAGGGATTCTCTTCTCCAATGCCCAAATGCTTAGATCCCCAACAAGCTCAGTACGTAATCTCTGAAGTACATGAGGGAATTGGTGGACACCACATGGGAGGTAAATCTTTATCTCAAAAATTACTTCGGGCAGGATACTTTTGGCCTACCATGGAAGAGGACTCCAAAAAACATGTGCGACATTGTGTCAAATGTCAAGAGCACGCAGACTTACACCATGCTCCCCCCGAGGAATTATCTTCAATGCTATCCCCATGCCATTTTACCAATGGGGCATGGACATTCTGGGACCATTCCCAGTCGCCGTCGGAGGGGTCAAATGGTTGTTAGTAGCAATTGACTACTTTTCCAAATGGATTGAGGCAGAAGCGTTAGCCACAATATCAGCCAACAAGGTTTGCCGATTCTTCTACCGACAGATCATCAGTCGATTCGGTGTTCCACACACCATTATAACAGATAATGGCACACAATTCGTGGACAGAAAATTCAATCAGGTCCTTCAAGATTTGCATGTTAAACACCGATATAAGTCGGTTGAACATCCACAAACGAACGGATTGGCAGAAGCTGTGAATCGAGTTCTCAAACGCGGTTTGGAAAGAAGATTAGAAACAGCAAAAGGGGAGTGGCCTGAACAGTTAGACTTTGTGCTATGAGGATACAGAACAACAAAACACTCAACCACTGGTGAAACCCCATTTCGCATGGTCTACGGTTCTGAGGCTATGATCCCAGTTGAAATTGGGGAACCATCATCGAGAAAGATGTACACAGACTCAGACAACAATTCGCAGGCATTACTTAGTAATTTAGACACGGTAGAGGAAATGCGCGAGATCGCGCATGTCAAGGAAGAAGCACTCAAATAGAGGATTGCAGCGCGCTACAACTTAAAGGTTGTCAAACGAGGCTTCAACGTGGGCGACTTAATCCTACGCAGGGCAGACATTGGCAATAAGAACGCGCGACAGGGAAAACTGGCTGCAAATTGGGAAGGACCTTATCGCATCTACAGCAAAACTGATAAGGGGGCATATGTCATTGAGACACTATCTGGCCTTACTATCCCATGCACATGGAACACAGACAAGCTTAAGACATTTTATAGCTAAGTCTCTCATGACTCACACACTGTTATCTTTGAGCTTTTGTCTTTCATTATTATTTCAAATAAAACGAACCAGTTTCCCTTTACTATTGATCAATCTCTGCATTAAGTTTCCAATTTACAGGAAACCTCTTACGGTTCCTATCAACTTACAGGGTTCTCTCACGAATCCTCCAATTAACAGGAAACCTCTCACGGTTCCTATCAACTTACAGGGTTCTCTCACGAATCCTTCGATTAACAGGAAACCTCTCACGGTTCCTATCAACTTACAAGGTTCTCTCACGAATCCTCCAATTAACAGGAAACCTCTCACGGTTCCTATCAACTTACAGGGTTCTCTCACGAATCCTCCAATTTACAGGAAACCTCTCACGGTTCCTATCAACTTACAGGGTTCTCTCACGAATCCTTCGATTAACAGGAAACATCTCACGGTTCCTATCAACTTACAGGGTTCTCTCACGAATCCTCCAATTAACAGGAAACCTCTCACGGTTCCTATCAACTTACAGGGTTCTCTCACGAATCCTCCAATTTACAAGAAACCTGTCACGGTTCCTATCAACTTACAGGGTTCTCTCACGAATTCTCCAATTAACAGGAAACCTCTCACGGTTCCTATCAACTTACAGGGTTCTCTCACGAATCCTCCAATTAACAGGAAACCTCTCACGGTTCCTATCAACTTACAGGGTTCTCTCACGAATCCTCCAATTTACTGGAAACCTCTCACGGTTCCTATCAAATTACAGGGTTCTCTCACGAATCCTCCAATTTACAGGAAACCTCTCACGGTTCCTAACAACTTACAGGGTTCTCTCACAAATCCTCCAATCCACAGGACACCTCTCATGGTTCTTATCAAATTACAGGGTTCTCTCACGAATCCTCCAATCCACAGGACACCTCTCATGGTTCCTATCAAATTACAGGATTCTCTCACGAATCCCCTAATCAACAGACTTGTCAACAAAGATCTCCTCAATAGATCACAAGCATACAGGTCGCGATCCCCAAGGATGTATCATGATTTTTCACGCTCAAACGCGATGGCATAACCAAAGGTATGCAAAAAAATAAAAATATTTTACAATAAACTGTCTAGACATATAGCATGCAGATATAGTGTTTAAGCGCTATATGGCGTACACACCACAACTCCAACATGCAAAGCATACAATCGCGACGCTATGCAGACATGGTGTTCAAGCGCCATACGGCGTACACACCAGACGCGGCCTCGTTCACTTTATAAGACTCTATACTTAAAGGATTCCTTTGTAACAAAGCACGACATGCATATGATCGCGGCGCAACATACAAATAGAATACACTTCAGCTGTGTTACAAAGAAGGTGAAGAGCAATATGAAGAAGGATGAGAAGGGTAATACCCTATTACAAAGAATGCAAATTTTCAACCGATTAACAACAGTCTACAAAAAGAGAGCAATGCAAGCATTCATTCAGCAGCAGATATATATTTAGCAAAATAACCTCAAATGTCATAAACTTCAAAATTTGCTGGAACAATGCCTACATCATTGTTATGGGGATACCCCTCTTACACATACTACAAATAAAAAGAAGAAGAAGATATATATAAAGGACATCATCATATCATCGATAAACTTCAGATGGTCTGGATTGACATGTCCTGAGGAGTGTCAGCAGCGCGCTCATCATTAACAGCAGGAGGATCTTGAGGCAACGGCACTGGCAAGGATGGCACGGTGGTGTCTGTATCCATCGCGCTAATCAGCTCCACTGGGACCTCTTGATTTTGCTCATTCAGGGTCACCAGCTAGCCATCCTTGAAGTAATGGTAGAATTGGACATTCTCCAGTTTGGCTGAGGGGTTGAAGAAACGCACTTGTTCAATCACGTTCACGAAGGTACCCTCTGCCTCCTTCTCGAACAACTCCTGATACCTCTTAACCTCAGAGGTCAAGTGGGCCTTTTCATCGGCCCAGGTATCAGCGTTTCCTTCAAGCTCCAGTATGCGCTTCTCCAGATCAATCTTCTTCGCCTCCAGGCTTCTGTTGGCAGTCGTCAGAGTCTTTATCTCAGCATCCTTCTTCTCCATCTCAACCGTCAGCAGGGCAACCTTGTCCTCAGATGTCTTCAATTCGGCTTCAGAAGCAGCGCGTTGTTGGGCATTTTCTGCTTTTAACTCCTCGATACGTTCCTTCAGGACGTCTACTGAATTTGTTATATATCAAACAACAGGTTATATATGCAACCACAATATTATAGTATACAAGCAAGCAACATGGAAAGCCAAACATACTTACCAGGTGCGGTCATGATAAATTGGCCAGCCGCGATCAGACCCTGGGCAAGCTGCCGCCATTGATCCCGCGACAGAGCTTCCAGGTGCAGGCCAAACTCCCTACCCTGAGCCCGCAGGTTATTCACGGCTCTCCAGTCAAAATTTGGCGACATCGCTTCAAAGGTTCTTTTTCTTCCTCTCGCAATGTCCTCCCCCACTACTATTGGCGGGATAACTTCTCGAGGAGGGGAAAGAGAGGTGCACAATCTCAAAGGAGATTTCAACTGTACAGTGGCGTGACCACTTGACTCAGCAGCAACAGTTTTGATTGGTTGAGAGGAGGAGGAAGAGCCAGCAAGAGCTGCGCGGTTGGCAGCAATTTGCTCCATTCTGCTCACTAGCGCCATCCTTATACTCTCTGCACAATAGAAACAAATGGATGGTCAGGCATACTTAGTTAATACATACAGGTAACGTTACATAAACATTCAAGGCATATCAGAACACGAAGGAAATTACCCAGGTAAGCTCGCACATCATTTTCAGTATACTCGTTCAAAATAGTATACGTATCTATAGAGCCTTCCCCAGCAGCTTCACGAGTGATCTTACCTAAAGCAGTCACCGTCTGCTGCTCTAGATCACTCAGATCCTTAAAATTATAACTTAACACGGAACTTTCTGTCGGGTATTGTGACCAATACAAAGGGAAGATAAGAGCTTGGTCCTCACCTATGAAAAACGGCGTAGTACCTTCGGCGGGATAGATCTTGAAATACTCCGCGGTCCACTTATTAATCTTTCTGCAGTATGACCTGCAGAACTTTTGTTTACCCCTAAAAGAAATCCAGCTGTTGCGAGGGGGAATTACACTAAACATGTACAAAAAAGACTGCACAAACTGAAAAAGGCCAAAAGCCTTACATACCATCTCATATACTCTAATAAAGCCCCAAGCATTGGGGGTCAGTTGTGAGGGCGCCACATTCAAATGCGCATTTACAGACGAAAGAAGAAAAAGGAAGACGGGTACCTATGGGCAAGAAAAAGTAAGAGTACATCATCATATAATGCCTGGTTGACCCCTCGGCCCGCGATGAACAAACACGCTCATTCTTCGGGACGACTCCAACCTCCCATTGATCGTCAAAAGCTTTATCTGGGGTCAGATGCAAGGCCGCGGTTACCTCCGCCAACTCTCCAGGAGAAGAATATATCGACTCAGTCTTCAAAACTGAGTCTGACACCCACTCGAGGGAATCAACATCCCGGATGCTTTGCCTGTTCAGGGACCGCGTTTATGACGGTTCTGCCTCGGGTAAATTTGTACGGTTTTTTTCTTCCCACCAGGCTGTGATGTGACGATCTTCTTATCGCGAGCATTATGTTTCACCATTATCTCCTTGATACGAGCGGACACAAAATCTGACTCAGAAGAAGAGGGATCAGTGGAAGAAGACAAACCAGTGGACATAGGTTTATAATTATCAAACTTCCTTATCTAGCTGGATAAACCACATTCAATGGCAAAGGACTAGGACTCTTCGATCCTGAAGACTCATACGCGATGGAGCAAGAAGAATCGCGCGATGAACTCGAGAAAGGCGATTTGGGGCTTTTTGACTCTGCCGATTTATAGCTACTATCTGAATTAACAGAAGAATCACTCGATAGCACAATGAGCTTGGACATATTTCCAGGAAAACGAGGAAACACAGACGAACTATGGGCTAACAATGCCTTCTCGCAAGGAGGTTGTCGCGAGGTTGACCCTAACTCGAAGGTACGACTTAAGGGCACATGCCTAGCACAGGCTTTGGTACAGGGAGCTAGAAGTCCTACAGTAGGCCTTATGTCCCTGGTTCCCAAGGACTGTGATCTGGGTAACAACCTCGACGGAGGACTAGATCAACCAGACAGTTCAAGGAATCTGATAAAATCCGCACCGTTGTACTTCTCTGGCATACCCCAGAAAGACAGACCCAAAATGAAGAACTAAAACACAGATGCAACAGAGGATAAGAAGAAAAACACGTACCTGAGATTTATACTTTCGAACTTCACAGCTACGAGCAGGACGTGTCACCACCGGAAATGCAGAATAGAGCTCTGAGAGACGAAGCAAGCTTTCCACTACAAATGACCAAATGATCTTCCCTCCAAAAGAAAAGGCACAAATACGAAGAGTTTTTTCTCCAACGGATACTCCAAAAGCCGTGAAATGTGTTAAACACAAACACCGGTTAGTGGGACACGTGGCGGGCAGGGGAAGCG